TCAAGGAAGATACGACAACCAAGATATTAGACAAATTATAAATGTCCTTGAGAAAAACGTTTTATTCAGCAGAGCTCTGAACAATTTTCTTCAGCAAAAAACCCAATCACAGAAATGTCAAGGATAAATTGGTGCTTTGGACCACCTCAGTGTACATTTATTATTATTCATGTCAAGCGGGCTATATTGAACGTTTTATTTTATTTTATTTGAACACATAAATATTGGTACAAGAGGGCAACAAATATATATGCGCCACACAAAACAATGAGAATTCGGAGAGAAAAAAAAGAACAATAACGAACAGATTAGTGTAAGGTAGTGTAATAATAATAATAATAATAATAATAATAATAATAATAATAATAATAATAATAATAATAATAATAATAATAATAATGGGGAAAACGAGAAGATACAACCAGAAGAAATCTTTCAGTTAAGGAAGATACAACCTTTTTTTAATGAAGAGAGTAAAAGAAGGTTACAGCAGGATCGCCACTGGCTTCTATTCTGAGCCATATCTGATAATGTCTCTAGCCACTGTGTAGCACCATCTTTCGGACCCCAACCAGGGAGTTGTGAAAGACCGACAGAAGCCAGTTTTTTGCAGCTTTCTTTCATATCACGACACCATGTCATATACTGACCACCTCTCCGCTTTCTCCGACCAGTCCCAGAGTCGGCAAATAATCCACGACGTGGAATTCTCTGGGACGACATTCGTAGAACATGTCCAAGACACTGAAGTCGGTGTTTCATGATGGTGACACCAATTTAATTATCTTCTCCACACCCGAACGCGCGATGCCTAACTTCTGCATTACTAACATGGTGTTGCCACTGGATGTTAGCAATCCTTCGGAGACAGTGGTGATCGAACACAGAGAATCGTCTAACGTCCTCAACTCGGAGAGGATGTTGAACATACAAAACGTGGACTTGGTAAGTTAATATCTGAGCATGACTTCATATGGCTATCTAAAGGGGAATAAGGAACAATTAACAGCTCAATCCCTGAACACATAGTAGACTCGGATCAAACTTCACTACGTGAATCGTAGTTCATAATGAAGAGAAATGGAAAGAACCGACTCAAAAATGTTTGGATGAGGAATTAGTGCACATAGCAGGCTGTAGCAACTCATCATCTCAAACTCGAATTCTGTATACAAAAGTCATTCCTAACCCCTTATTCTCCCAGTATTAAAAAGCCTTTGAATTTTACAAATCTTAAGTGCTGATTATTATTATCTTATTCTTCACCATCTTCCCTTTATAAAGTAAATGGTTATCCTTAACTTTCATTCTATAGATCATTACCTCTTATTACTTCGAAAACGACTACGTAAGCTCTTGGTGATTTTCGATTACTTTGCTGAATGATCCAACCCCGTTTTATCCTTCCATTTTGAATGATCAAATTCAATGCATGACAATATTGTCAACTCAGTGGTAACGTCTCTGACTGTGAACCTGGGTGACACCAGATCGGATCCGCCAGAAAGCACCAGTTCCCTCAAGATTACAGGTACACCTTGCTGACGAGTGCCAAGTGGCACGAAACTCGGGTCCAGGGTTTCCTGTTGACTACCTCCAACCACCATCTAAATCTCAATACATAGTGCCCGCAGTGTCGAGTCACCTAGACTGGTGGCCACATTGCGACATGATCGATAGCATTCTATCTGCACTAATAAGGACTAGACGAGCATGACATTATTCACCACCCAGTGATCAATCGTGATTGTCAACATCACTTCATCTTTATTGACTTCCACCTGGAAAGGTTTGACAACTCTTGATAATTACATGGAACTCCTCTATTTTATTATAGACATTTACATGCAAAAATTACTTATGAAGACGACTGTATAGCTTCAGATAATGATATCATCGAAAAGAAAATTCTCTCCGCTCGAATATTTTCATTCTTTTAAAAGGAAAAGTGTTGTTGCAGGTTTACAGTTAATACTGATAAATTTAATTTTAGCTAAGGTCATTTCACATACCAAACAGTTGGTAGTGATGCGATTTCGTAAATCTATGAACTAGTCAAAACATTAAATCGTCTCAAGACTGATTTATTCATATCAATTGGAGTTAGCTTTTAATTCACCGAGTACAAAGAGGATGCAAAATATAGCTACAGGTATGCTATCTTTCATTTATATATTAATACCATTGAAGTAACTACTCCTATGAATTTAGTGTTCACCTTGTTGTGCTAGAGGTGTGGCAACTTGGACCGATGCATATATGTGCCTGGTCCTACGTTGTAACTGACTGATATCCGGTGAAATTGACTGACAAGTCATTCGACCAAAATAAACGATGTGTTCATCAAATTACCAGGTAAACAAAAGTCTTCCAAAGATAGTAAGCTTTTGTCTCTGGAATAGCTAAAGCCTTTGACATACATTTAGAAAAGCCAAAATTATGTATACAAAACAAGCTCATTTGGCCTTTTCTTCTATCATGATTTTAGTTCTTGTTTTCATGTCCTTTTTAGTTATAGTTCATTTTAATTCAAAAACTTATCACTTTCAGTAACTTTTACTCACAATTCTTTATCTTTATTTAACCTTTTGATAAAAATTGGAATTATGTTATTAATCCAGCATCAAGAGAAGTGTTACGACACTGGAAAATATAATCCCTCTCAAACAGAGGAACGGGAGTAGAATAGTTTTTCTGGATTTGGTATGTTAACGGATAGATTGTATAAACATTCAAAGTATTCCGCACAACGCCTAAGTGTTTTAATTAATTTATTATCAGCCTAGAATTGTTTCATTGGAAGAGTTTTAATCGGTTTGTAAGATTTGGATTAGCTATCGGAAGTTACCAGATACGGTTGCTGTGACTAACTGGCTAGTTTAACTTCACCACAACGTCGCATAAACCGCCAAAATGCGAAATAAGTTAAGCATATAGTAGAATATTATCCAGGTCGAAATAGGTGCTCCAAAAGCAGTAACAGTCCCGAACAAACGCTTCTTATCGATATCTATTTAAAGTAGGAACTATCAGAGTCTAGCCTCATGTTTTATAGAAGGGATGAGAAGTAGCATACTGGAAACAGGTGACACAAGTTAATATTAGCTAACAATGAACTATGATGTGAATAACGATCTCAGTTATCACACTTAGAACAGATATGAAACCATTCGAACCGAAAGTCAGTTGTCTACATTTTGGTATAAATGACTATGCTCTGTACTCTACGCTGACGTAACTCCCTAGTGGAAGATCTAGAAGGGGTTAGAAGACAGTTACCAATAACCCATTGTTGTGGATGCGGAGGAATAGACCAATAATTATCATGTTAAGTCCAATGGTGTCCTTGGACTTTAAATGGACATTTCCTATTGGTCGATATCTGTTCACTTGTTGAATATTGTACAAAATGTTGTTTTCTATTTTATGGTACGATGTGGTATGCTTGATTGGTATATAAACAAAGTATGTTTGAAATATAATGATTCATATCTCCGAGGCTGTGACTTGTGTTCTGGACTCAACTGACTGGGCTAGACAGGGAAGTGAGACCAATCGAGACTCTAGGCCGTCCGTACGTGTTTACGTGTCATTGAATCGATCGATAAGTACGCTGCTCTCTAATTTTCCAGTCAAGGACACAACAATTAGCACAGGGTAAAAATCGGTCGCAACCTAAAGTCATAACACCCATCTATGGAAAAGCTAAAAAAAGAGATAAGAACAGAGGTGACTACGATGGTACCTCACTATAAGCTGACATAATCAGTAAAACTTTATTACAGTCTTCTGTTAATTTGAATAACTTTTTAAGCAAACATTAAGCTGAGAGCAATTTAAGAGATAAGGGATGTATAATCAAACGGCATGAAATCAAAGGATATGGTTAGTGCAAATTACCCTTGGAGACTTCAGAGTCTAACGGAAGGTTATACCTCTAGCTAATACACCAAAAAAACCACCAAGTTATATCGAGGTCACGTTTCTCTAGTACCTCTCATAAAAGTTAGTAATCTTTAACCGACCCTTTTTAAAATAACCGCTACAACTTAAACCACTAATGTATCCCAATTCGGGTTGAGGTCACTAGACACAAAGTCATGTGACGTTTCTCAGTGTGAAAGTGAGCTCGAAAACAATTAATTATTAGTCCTGGAAAGTGAGCTCCAAATGCTCTAACATGGTCACGCGTATACAGCCACTGCCACACAAGTCCTACTCACTGCCTTCTAGTGGCGGGGGTGTTTCTTACGAAATTGAGGGGATAAAAAACATTTGTCCGGCGCTCTAACTGGGTTGGTTGGAAGACCTTCATTCCAAACCAATCGTGTACATGGGCTCCAGAATCTTGAGGGAACAAATGACGTATGAACCAATCGTTGGTGACCGGCTACCATGGGACTACATCTAAAGTTGCTCTACTACCTTGTGGATCAGACCTTTAGGTCGAAGGCTCCGATGTGGTCCCTAAGAAAACCACCTGTTTCGGTTTGAGTACCCGGGTAGTATCATAGCCCGCACACAAATCAAGTGACTTGTGTGGCGCATGTGCATTCGGTGCCCCTTTGTACCAATATTTATGTGATCAAATAAAATAAATAAACTTAAAAAGTGGATATTTTTAGTTAACTGTACTGACCAGGAGCCCCAACATTGTGGGACATTGAAGTTTGTGAATTTGATATTAACTCGATAGAATTTATTCCAAACTTTCCTTGGATTTAAAGAATAAAGGATTTAGACAGTAAAGAATAATTTGCGTAAAAACAGAAGTTGACTAGTAACTGATGAACTTAAAAGTTTTGGAAATTTGTAAGTGAGAACGCTAATATTTCAATTTGCTTTGCTTTACTTTGAAATAACGATGACAGAAGACTACTAAAAGAATACGTTTATATTGATAAGAGCTGATAGTACTGGTGATTAGCTTCTATCAACCAATGAACGATCGTAAAATCTTACATTCCCCGATAGACTTTATGGAAACAAATAATGAGTTCAAAATATAGTAGTGTATGTCGACTACAATGAACTTTCCATAATATCAACGTTTCTATGCAAATAATAATAAGTCGCCTGCAAAATAATTACCACTGAAGGTCTACAACATCACTTTTTAAGCCAATACAACAATATTAAGAATAACATTTAGATAGTGAGTGGTTTTTTATACATTTAATTCTTTATCAACTGAATTCTGTCGAGTTTTATTCAACTTGCGCATTTTTTGACTACGTATATGACGTTGAGTTACATTGTGTTGATGCAATTGTTTATTTGATTCATACGCTTGTAACATCGAGCTATTATCTGTGCACTTGAAGAATAATTTCAAAAGTTCTGTTCGGGGACTTGGAACTGAAGATCATTAAACAAAAAGAAAACAAGTGATTTCTCATATTGCAGCGACAAAGACGAAGGCAGAAGTGAATAATCATTTATTGTCACATTTATTTTCATATCTTAATAATCATCAGTTAGCCGGAATGTACTTCATTATCACTATTTTTTATACAATACTTTGTACATAAATCACATTTTGAATTCTAATTAGCTGGCAAAAGTTAAATAAGCTTTCTGAACCTCTGTCGAGATTTTACCAAACACGAACAACATACCACAACCTATGAGACGTTTAGGATAAGTGAAGTGAATAATGAACTCAACTTCTTTACGCCCCAGTATTAAAATTACCTGATACGATTACTGTGAACTTGGTGCTATACTCACACCAGCAAGACCACGAGAAGTTTTAGTCAAGTCTGCAGGTACACGAAGGGTAAGTCATAATGGCTCTTCATACTAGCCACGTCTTTTTATGGGCACTTCCTTACGATCGACTGCAGCGTCTCATAAAACTGATCTTTATCGTCTTCATTACTATCATTGGTGGGTGCATAACACTGGATATCATTCGCTGTGATTCCCTCTTTCTTTGTTTTTAAGGATGCTTTGATGATCCTGGCTCCGTGAAATTCTCATTCCATAAGTGCTCTTCGTGCTTATTTGGACAACATCGAACAACTTCCTATGTGTGAGGAGCATTTTCTTCTTCGTGACCAGAGTACAACAGCATCTCTTCAGGATCTAGCCTTTTCTGTCTAGCTTGGGTTCAATGGGATTCTCTGATTTCGAATATTGTCAAGTTGTACCTCCTCATTCTTGTAGCCATTTGGCTGGTCCTCCCAGTCTTCCACAATGTCCGGATATTCCACATACCAAGGTTAATTGTTGTTCTGGTTGTCAGAAAGGGAATCGGTTTCGTGATTTCTGAGGAATCTCGGCTTTCATCATGAGGGATCAGGATTCTTATGAATGAAGTTCCTTCAACTCCCAGAGCAGATTGTAAATGGTTCAAATTGTTTATTCTGTTTATCCAAGCAAGGCTGTTTTCTATGGGATAGGGTTGTTAACCTCATATCCAACTCTTTTTCTTTATCCAGTCTTGGGACCGGCTTTAAACCAAGAAGGGCTACAGGCGGAGTTTATGATTATCTAACCCATTACAATTTGTTTCACGAGCAAAATTATGGTAGTTTATCGGTCAAGCGTATTTCAGATGCACTAATTATGTAAGGAAAACAGACATGGTTTATACAGTACATATAAAACCTAAAACCACCTACCTGGAACTTGTAGAAGAAAGCTGTTTGATATACAATCAACAATTTGAGGCTATTTAATGAAAAGAATAAAACTTTATCACTTAGATTTCTCTTGAAATTACATATAATAGGCAGTAAAAATAATACCTTAACTATGAAGCAAAACAACTTTGCCCCCAAATGCCCTGGTATGGCCGAGAGTGGGGTGGGCCCGCCCTCCCGCTCAAAATGCTCTCACACGGCCACGCGTATACAGCCTCTGCCAGAGAAGTCCTACTCACTGACTTCTCGTGGCCAGGGTGTTGTTTACGAAATTGAGAGGACGAAAAGCGAATGTCCAGCGCTTTAACCGGATTCCAAACCAATGGCGCACATGGGCTCAAGTATCCTGCGGGGACAAATGACGTATGAACCAATCGTTGGTGACCGGCTACCATGGGACTGCATCTCCCCACGATGCTCCACTGCCTTGTGGGTCAGACCTTTAGGTTAAAGGCTCGGGGTTTGGCCCCCTAAGAAAACCACCTGCTTCGGTCTGGGCACCCGGGCAGTATCACAGCCCTCACACAAATCTAATGATTTATGTGGCGCATATCTACTTGGTGCCTCCTTGTACCAATGTTTATGTGTTTAAATAAATAAATAATAAAAATAAAACTTTAGTGAAAATGAGTAGGCATACAGACCCACGTTCAGTCTGGACTAATCATTTTCAACTGAATTTTTAGACTAAAGCTATGCAATGGAAGACTGTCAATAAAATAATTGAATCTAATTTATTTTGCTATGATTGCTATTCGGCTTTATTGAGGGGAAAAACAACTATAGTGTTGTCATCCGTCAATCACTTATTGATCAGCATTATATATACCACTTCAACAACCAAAACATCTTCATAACAAACCCCAAACCCTGCAGCATAATGAATCTATTGTACAAATTCTATCGCACTAAAAGTTATTTCATACAGTGAAATGAAATGTGATTATGGACTTAATATTCATAATTACACATTTTGATATGGTTTAAAATTGTGCTCATTAGTGACTGTGTGGAAAACAAATTCTTTCCCGTTGCTTTTCACACTAAACCGTTGTTTTAATACGATTTTCGCTTCTTTTCCTCTTCTATGATACATACTTCATCTTGCTCTAAACAAAGTTTTTTTTTCTATTATTTATTGCATTCTTTTAATTAAATAGGAAACTATTATTTAACACTTACAACATCCCATTTGACAGAGCAAGATGGTTGGCAAGTATTGTATTGAATAATCAATTTCCAGGAGTAGAGACGAACACTAGTCACAGTAGAACACAGTCCAATAATACGATTATCATTTGAACATAGAGCTATATCCGTAAATGGCATTTTATCCTCTGTGGAAGTAAAAGCTTTTGATCCCCAAGAGACAACTTCATCTTCATGTATATGAATATGAAACGCCATCAGTACTGGGTTGCTGTAAATAAATTTTTTACGGGAAGTGAAGTGAAAATAGATTATGTTACTAGCAGTATATTTGTAATAGCATCAAGGTCCCCACCAACTTAAAGACAGACAGACACCACAAACAAAAAGCCTAGGAAAAATGTACGTGTGGCAAGTTATTATACTACGCTAGCACGACGGATTGAAAATAATAAAAGAAATCTAAATAATATAATTCCAATGATAAAACGAGGCTAAATTTCGAGAATATAATTTGAAAAGAGATTGAAAAAGTGTATATATAAAGGAATACTGGAATTCAAAAGTGTAAAAAGGATAGAAAGTAAATACGTCGTGAACTATTGAGACATATCAGTTCCCAATAATTGATTACAAATATTACGTGAACCACAACCAGATAGTCTGAATCTACCAATATGGCTCAAACCAAAGACCTTTTACCTTGGAAGACTGTGTTGCACTGCCATAACGTAATGGAGAGCAGACTGTTGCGCACAATATATACCCCCTTTGACTGTCAGGAGGGCATGCCACCTATGCCATATGTGACACAAGTTGGCAAAGGCTAACTGCACTTCATGAATATTGGACATTTTACTACACATCGACCCTACAAGATTTATGAGACTTTCAAAATAAGTTAAATGATCAGTACACTCAACTAATTTAATTTCTATCATTGGTTCAGGCGTTAAAGCAAACCAGTTGTGGAGGAACATTTCACCTTCAGAAGGAGATCTGTACATAACAAATGGTTGTAATGCTGTTCATTTCGATCAAAGAATGCATTTTGTCAGCATCACCAAATAGGGCTATTTCATTTACATATTCCAACTCGATAAGCAAACCTCCCGGTATGAGATTGCTCCTATGAAAAGTTAGTGGGAGAAATTGTTATTTCTAGGATAACATTGATGAAAAGATGGATAAAAATAAGGATAGTGATGACTTTGGCGAAAGGCACCTGATTATAACAGTTCGATCAGACTGAACCAATAATGTCTGAGTCCCAACATTTAAAACTATATATCAGTAGTCTTAGAAATTAGTGTCATGTGCTTGAAGGCAACCAACATAATAGAGTTAAATTGTTGGTTTTCATCCATAATATGGTGTGATTACAATAAGGAAAGTTATACCATCTGTTTCAAACCTGTTTTTAACGAATGATTAATCTAATAAATGAGTCATGGTAAACACCTCACTGTTATTAATTTCAGTACAGTCGATAGCGTGACTTCACTCTAGGATCTTAATAACATACCGCCTTTAATCCCTTTAAACGGAAAACTGAAAATACTCAATAAAAGATTGCAATTTATTCAAAGTGATGACTGTTTATTAAATTTGGTGAGGCAAGGAGCTGGTTACGTATGTTGATGTACAATTTCATACAAACGTGTATAACATAGAGTTTGTATACTTCGTAACAGCACAGAGAAAAGAAAAACTATAAAAACAAATAGCGACGGTAGCAGTTTAGAATGGGATGTGAATCACAAACTACAAAACGTCCAGGGTTTAATGATAAAATGAGTTGGTTTTTTTATTATCACGCTTCATCTGTCGTATTTAATACCTTATACAGAAAATCTGGATCTTCTAGAGGTAAGATCAAGTCAAAACTTGTGGAAAGTTCAACTTACGATAAAAAACAACAAACGACAACATCTTTGATAAAATAAAACCTAGAAACAACAGCTTCCGACTTAAAATTGAACTGCGAATCCGTAGAAACTGAAAGAGATGGGAGTTCACTTTTTGAAACATAATACGATGATAGACAGTGACCCGACTCACAATTCCAAATACTTATATATCCATCCTAAATTAAGGAGAAAAATAGACAATGTAAGCCAACAAATATATAGACAGAAAAACCATGAGTTTTTACGCAATTACGTGTCAGTTCAAATTATCTCTGCATCGGTACGGATTATTTCCTGTTGGTGCCCTACTGCAACTAAATTTTCATATTACAAAATGATAAAGACAACTAGCTTAGATAGTTTAATATCAGTCACAGCTAGGTTTATGCATTTATTATTTATCATGATGTAGCTGATGTACATTCAACTTGAGCTAGTGATGTAAATTGAAAATATCGGAAGAGTGTCAAGGTTTTATTGATATATCGAAGTCTTTTTTAGGATTACCAAAGAAACATTAAACAAAGCCCTTCCGGACCACTTCCTTTAGACCAAATTCAACCTTTTCTAACCACGTTTCACCGGCAGAAAGCTCTAAATGGTCCCAGACACTAACTCCAAAACTTATAAGTGTGACAAGAAACATTTGTTTTTAATTGTTCGAACCTATTAACATTGGTACGAAAGGGCACCAAAATATATATAAGTCACAAAGTAGTTTTAACTCTATTTGCGTGCGGGTTGTGATACTGCCCGGGTCCTCAAACCATAAAAGGGTGGTTTTTTAGGGGCCACTCTACTAACTCCGTATCATCTAAAAGGGTTGGTTTAAATTAAGTGTTATGGAAATGATGAATTACAGTAGAAACCTGGTGAGTATAGAGAACTGGGAGCAATTTTTCGAAGTTTCTGTGTAGCGTTGAACAACTGAGTTCCAGCTCCGGTCAGTCAGAACAACTTAGTATCCGGTGGACTACTTTTCATCTGGTATCAGACTAGATGCATTCGTAATATCTGTCAACTAATACAGCTTATGAAAAACTTAACTTCAAATATCATGAAACTGAGAGAATTAAAAAACACGATAAACAGGCTGAAATTCGATGAACGTAAACTAAGTTAAGATAGCTACATAATTCAAAGAACGACAATTATTGGAGATTGATGTATTTGATAAGTGGTCATTACTACGGCATATGCCCTTTGTTCGTAGATGGAATCATGTACATTAGGTTTTACAGGTTTTCCAGATTATTTTTTGTACCGATTCCTAACAAATGACTTTTTATTATCAGTGTGAAAAACCAGAGGAGCTTGAGGATAAAGTGGATTATGAATACGATCAAGATTAGGAATATTGCGGCTCCTCAAACTAGGATTTTAAGATTACTTTCTGATCTAACCATCATACTCGTACACTAAGGCCTCCAATTAAGACTACTTTGATATATTCGGAAAAATATTCAGGTTTTAGTTGGATCTGTCTAGTTTCTGGACTGTGACTAACGCTTTCAACCGTACACTAGGAATAACTTGTTAAAGTGATCACATGAAAGTGTCAAACATGTTGATTAAGATAAGTGGTGAAAAGCATACCCTAATACACTAACACTGTGCAGCATCAAAAGTGAAAATTGTCTGCCAGTCCTAAACTCCATCAAACATAAAATTTGGGCGCCTTGTCAGTGGGTTGATGGAATAACACAATGTGATGAGAATTACACTGACATAATCAGTAAAAATGCTTCGGAATTCCAATCTCAAGGATACATATTTTGAGATGATAAAAATCCTATTTACTTTCAGTGTAGTTACATATGTTGAAATATTATTCGGACCTCAATAGTCAGCCTATTTCTAAAAGCCTATGCATTTCAGAAACTCTAAGAACTATCTTGGTTGGTAAACTGACAAAAATAACCACATGATAAAAGATTCTGTGACAAAAGATGAGCGACAACCACCAGTCCCAATCCTTTGAGGAAACTATAGGGGTGAAAATGAAGAATTAGATCAACTAAAAGTAGCGAGCCTTCCAACTTACTCCTCCTGTTGAGATTAAATATCGAGTGTCGGGAATAAATCCAAGCTGAGAAACGAACCTGTTGTTTGTTTTTAAAAGTTAGTCCAACACACTCAACATACGATTTATGACCAAGACAAAATGATTGGATAACATAGGGTTCAGAAAATCGACTAATCCGTATCTTTTCATCACGATCACAAGACGCCAAGTACATTTCATCCTCCGAAATAGCCTAATAAACCGTAAGATGTACATGATAAGTTGTCATACAAAAGTGCAATATAAACGTTAGTATCAGTATCTAACTAGAAAAATGCATATAGACGGAAATTCTTATAAATGCGATGAATGAACTAAGATTATAATTAGGAACTTGAAGCATAAAATATCACTTGTCCGGAAAGTTAACAATTAAAAACCCATGACATGTGAAGAATGAGAAACCGTAAATAACTGCTAAAAGCATTCCACGGAAGTTTCGTAACCAGTTGATACTCCTACTTAATTAAGTGTATTTGTTAGCCCTTATAAAGTATGAGCCACATTTTAGCAGATAAAGCCATATTTGACTGATAATTCACTATGTTTAGTACAAGTTTTACGAGGAAGATAAGCAAGAAATAAAGGATAAAGCTACTTCGGAGAAAAATGTCATATCGTCTTAGAAACATAATAATAATAATAATAATAATAATAATAATAATACGACTTGGGTAGAATGAAAAATGAACAAACATACCGTGTTATTCACAACATATGTTTTCAAAAATACTGGCTTTTCGAAAGATATCTAGATATCAGTTTAATGTGTGCACTCATTCATTTAGAGAGGCTACTGTGAATGAATTTTGTGTCCACACACTGGGCACCCTTGTCAGAATATGGATTATTATTTCATACATCCGAGGAATTCAGCAGACTACATAATCGGACTGTAACAGACGAGCAGTCGCTCTCTCTGGGTGATTTTGCTTTGTTACCTATTTAGAAAGACAGAGTTCCGTATGAGTCAATGGGTCCAACTATATCACCCTGCTATTTTGTTCAGATTGATGTAGCATACTGAGTTCATTCTATGCTGAGTTAAACGCGGATTAAGACATCTGTAAGACAGAACTTTTTGGGAGTATGGATACAATTAGAGGGTAGTAAGAAAAGGAAATAACGGTAACACATAAGTCGACTAGTCGCTTAGTGATTGTGGTAATCAGACTTCGGTCACTAAGTTTAGAATTCCAACTATTTTAATCTGTGAATCTAGAAAGCATCACATGCTTTAATATCAACGTGTAGTTGAAAAGCAAAACAGGATAATTCATGAAGTTCCCAACCTGAAATTCAACGACACGACGACAATTAGTAAGTTAGAATGACAGAAGAAGCACTCACCATGTGACTAAGTATTGAGAAATGTCCGCAAAGAAGAGTCAAATCTGTATCGTGAATGGGCTTCTCCGGACACAGAGTGAGTTTGAAAACATCTCCGGACTTGTCTCCAATAAGTAGTGCTTTTTCACTTGGAGAAAAAAAAAGACACGATACCTGTTTGCGCAGCTTCCTAAACAAATTTAAACGAATATGAGTGTCACCTACAATTGTGAAACCAATAACCAGTGGTCATTTTCATTAACATAAAGAAACAGCCGCTTTAGGTTATCTGCAGCAGACAGGTATGAACCCTTCGAAGAAACCGTCAGGAGTGAGATAGTAGGAACTTGTCTGCCAAATTCTGAATCGCTAAACCTAATTACTTGAAATGCATAAGACGTACATCACAACATCAGGTAGAGAAGTCTCGTTAACAATACCATTTCTGTAAGTGATGCTTCAAAGATTTTAAAAAGCAAACCTTAAATTCCAGCCTATGAATGAGTGTTTTAGAGATAAATAAACCTCTCTGCAGGCAGTAAGCATTTGTGCAGCGCTTCGAGTCTATGCTGAAAGTATGTTGAGTTGAAGAAGTGAGCAGAGTAGGGAGTAAATTTGGTAGAAAAGGAATGATATGGAAGGTTAGCAAATGATCTTGTAAGCGAATAGGATGCACTCGAATTCAACAGTGAAAGCAATCGGTAACAAGTGGCGATAGCACATGCGCTACTACCAGTTGCATCGTCCATTGATGGAGGTTACTGAGCACTTGAAGGTCAAATTGTCGCCAAACGATTGGTGCATCAACTCGACTGTCCGTAAGGTTTTGCAGAAGCGGTCAAACCAAGGAAATTAGGTGTAGCACACGTTATCGGCGTTTGGTAAAGCTAGGTGGCCCGTGTTAATCCTGACAATGATGATCTCTCAGTTGATAAAACTTTCTTTTGAAAGAGTCCACAGATGGAGCTTCGATAACGTGTTGAGGTAACTAATTCAGTTCGTTGATGATTCGATGGGAAATTCTATAGTCAGCTGACAAGTAATTTGTCCTGCGCTTGTGAACTTTATTGAAGTGTCTTTGTAACTCCTCTGTTACGAAAGACAAGAAAAATTGGGGTATATGGTGACATATATTCAGTGATTTTTGTAACAACAAAAATAAAAACCACATTTTTTCTCTAATTTGTCACACTTTATTTGTAACCACATTTTTATTCAATATCTGTTGTTTTGCTGTATCACTTGTTAAAAAGACGATGATAATTGTTTCGATGAATGATATACGATTTTACTACCGCGTTGTTTAAAATATAGAACACTATCTACGCCGTTTGTTCTTCTGTTTTATTGGCCACCGTTTTGATTGAAGACTATAATAGTATTATAACATCATTATAGGCCTTCCGACTCAACGTTGGACTTTTGGCGCGGATTACTATTGCATAATACTATTGGACTCCGGCTTCCTAATTACGTCATTGTTGCAGTCACTTTCAGAGGAACACCTGTCAATCAAGTGAACTCAGTTTGTGGTCGTAGTTCTCACGAGGCAGTTCACAAGTAACGTTCATTCTATAGTAACTGTTAGTGTCTGTTTGTTTAATATACCTTTTGTATTGCTAACGGTATTTTGTTACCTTTGGTTTTACTAACGGACAGACATCAAGGTTTCTTTACTATTAATTTTTTTGTATATCACTATTAACCTAGTGTATCAATATATTTTGTGTAAGCTCCTTTTGTTTGGGAACCACCACAAATTTGGTGAGCCCGTAATGATTTTTTTTTCTCGAAACTACTTTTGAGTTCACTTACAGACATTACGGCGTTATTTTACCCTTGGTAGTATTTAAATTTTCGTATATTTGTAATGTACTCATCCGAAACTGAAGGCATTAGCCAGGATAACATTTCAGCAGAGCTACACGCTCTAAATTTGATAAATGTGCCCCCATTCAGCCGATTAAATCCTCGCATTTGGTTTGCGCAAGTAGAAGTACAATTTCAGCGTCGCAACATACGCTCACAGGCATCTAAATACTCTTTTGTGCTTGGATTACTACCCACTGAAGTTGCATCTGAGGTGTCAGATTTGATAGATAATATTCCTGCACCTAATCCATATGATCAATTGAAGCAGGCAATTATTCAACGTACCTCATTATCTGATGAAAAGAGATTACAGCAATTACTGCACGATTGTGAGCTAGGCGACAAATCACCGTCTCAATTATTACGACACATGAGACAATTAGCTGGCCCTTATAAATTTGATGACGCCTTCCTCAAGGAGATTTGGCTACAACGTTTGCCAACAGTAGTTAGGCAAATTCTTTGCGCCTCTAGCCAACCATCAGATTTAGAGAGTCTTGCTAACATGGCCGATAAAATTTTAGAAGTTACACCCTGTACTACACCTTACGTACAGACAATATTAGAAACTTCGAACGATAAGCAAACTCCCACCATGGCATCGTTAACTGCTGAGCTAGGCGAACTGCGAGCACATCATGAACGAACTGTCGCTAGTCTTGAAAATAAACTGGATGCACTACAATTATTAATCTCCAATTTCACATCTACAAGACCTCGTTCTTGTTCTCGAGGGAGTAAGAATCGAGATAACTCAAAAGGAAACAAAAACGACGACAACATATGTTGGTACCATAAAAAATATGGTGACAGAGCCAGGAAATGTGTTACGTCTTGTAAATTTTTCAAGTCATTTTCCTCACCAAAACGTGTCAACCAAACCATGGTAGCGACAAATGTTTCTGGTCGTGCGCCTACTCGTCTTTTCCACGTTCTTGATAAAACTTCAGGCTACAAATTCTTAGTAGATACTGGAGCTGAAGTTAGTGTCATCCCAGTTACCTTAGCCAATAAACCTATTGCTAAGAGTGGAAAATATACCCTAAGGGCAGCTAATAAAACCGAAATAAAGACATTTGGTGAACAATTTCTAACATTAGACTTGGGAATTAGACGTAATTTAACCTGGGTGTTCATTATTGCGGATGTCCGTCACCCTATACTAGGTGCAGATTTTCTAAGTTTCTACAACCTACTAGTTGACGTTAAGAGAAGAAAACTTATTGATTCCTGCACGAACCTTCAAATCCAGGGAATTCAGTCGGACTACCACATACATAGTATTAAAATTGACACCCCAGGAAACGACATATTCGCCACCATTCTATCTAAATTTCCCAAAATAACGAAACCAGACTACAGTGAAAACACTGTCCAACATTCTGTAGTACACCGGATCATCACAAAAGGTCAACCAACTTCGGCACGTCCACGCCGATTACCACCGGACAAACTGAATGTTGCAAAAGCTGAGTTTGATCATATGATGCAGCTAGGTATAATACGTCCGTCAAGTAGCCCCTGGGCATCCCCACTCCACATGGTGCCCAAGCGAGACCAAGATTGGCGACCTTGTGGTGATTATAGATCATTGAACAACCTAACATTACCGGATCGCTACCCAATCCCTCATTTACATGATTTTTCTCTCACTTTACATGGCAAGCAAATTTTTTCTAAAATCGATCTTGTGCGAGCGTACCACCAGATACCAGTAGCATCCGAGGACATTGCAAAAACAGCCATCATTACTCCATTTGGTTTGTTTGAATTTCTAAGAATGCCTTTTGGATTAAAGAACGCCGCACAAACATTTCAACGATTTATGGATGAGGTCACTAAAGGCCTAGATTTTGTTTTCGTGTATATTGATGATGTCTTAATAGCTAGCAGTTCGCTCCATGAACACGCTGATCACCTACATCAATTATTCGAAAGATTTCAGAAATATGGCATAGTGATTAACCCATCCAAATGTATTTTCGGAGTTGAGAGCTTAGAGTTTTTAGGTCACTTGATCGACAAACGTGGAATTAAACCTTTGGATACAAAAATAGAAGCCATCAAGAATTTTCCAGAACCAGACTCATGGAATAAACTTCGACGTTTCTTGGGGATGATAAATTTTTATCGTCGCTTTATTCCACATTGCTCAGCCATCCTACAACCTTTGACGGAGGTGTTAAAAGGTAAAGTCAAAAAGTTCACATTACCCTCCCAAGCGAAAGATGCCTTTTCTGCAGCTAAAACAGCAATCGCTTCTACTACCATGCTGACCTACTTAAGCCCTGATCCGGAAGCAACACTAATTCTGTGTACAGATGCATCACAGGCAGCAGTAGGTGCAGTACTACAACAGCGAGTTAATAATGAGGTCAAACCACTTGCCTTCTTTTCAAAGAAGCTAGAACCAACCCAAACTCGATATAGCACTTTCGGTAGAGAACTATTGGCTATTTATCTAGCTGTTAAACATTTTAACCATTTACTGCAAGGCAGAGACTTTGTGATACTCACTGATCACAAACCTTTAACCTATGCCTTTAACGCGAAAAGTGACCGTTATTCCCCTAGAGAAATGCGACAATTGGATTATATTTCCCAATTTTCGACCAACATACAGTTTATAAAAGGTGAGTCAAATGTTGTTGCGGATACTTTGTCACGTTTCAACGTCGATGCAATTTCCTTCACCAAAGGAATCGATTTATTAGACATGGCACGTTTGCAGACAGATGATCCTGACCTTGATGCTTGTAAACAAAGTTCGAGCTTGTCCTTAAAAAGTGTTCCTATACCGCATTCTGACTCTACTATCATTTGTGATACTTCTACTGGAACGCACAGACCTTTTGTGCCAATAGTGTACAGAAAAGAGTTTTTGATTGTCTTCACTCACTATCCCATCCAGGGATTCGTGCTACTGTGAAACTGATTGCCGAAAGATTTGTCTGGCCAAAGATGAATGCAAATATAAAAATATGGACCAGGACTTGTGTACAATGTCAACGCAGTAAAATACATAGACATACGATTACAACACCGTCAGCATTTAGTCTACCCGACCATCGTTTTCAACATGTTCATGTTGATTTAGTTGGTCCTCTGCCTCCATCTAATGGATTCACTTACATTTTTACTGCAGTGGACCGTTTCACTAGATGGCCAATTGCATGCCCAATAAAAGATATCTCCGCGGAAAATGTTGCTGCTGTATTCCTCGACAGATGGATCGCTAATTTCGGTGTACCTTCTACAGTTACTTCTGACAGAGGTTCACAGTTCCAATCTCACCTCTTCAATGAATTTACCCGCATTTTAGGAATCCATCACATCACTACAACAGCATACCATCCAGCAGCGAATGGACTAGTGGAACGATTCCACAGACAACTAAAAAGCTCATTGATGGTACAGCCTGATGTTTCTAGATGGAGTGAATCTCTACCTCTTATTTTACTAAGCATACGTTCCACAATTAAAGAAGACCTACAATGTACTCCGGCACAGCTCGTCTATGGAGCTAATTTAACCTTACCGGGGCAGCTAGTGACGCATAATGGCAAACCCGTATGTACGGATCCCACTTCTTTTTGCGAAAGACTAATGAGCCATATGAATAACATTAAGCCTGTTGCACCTCGGCCAGTTGTCTTAAAAGAGCAAGTTAGCAAGCATCTAAATACGTGTAAATTTGTATTTGTTCGTGTTGACTCCGTAAGACGCCCTCTACAACATCCTTATGAAGGACCATTTGAAGTAGTTGAGAGGCAAACAAAATATTTCACAATCAATAAGAACGGAAAAAAAGAAACAGTTTCGATCGACAGGATAAAACCTGCTTTTATAGAATCTGAAACACATGACAGCCGAAAGCCGTCTAAAGACAGCGGTGATCACACAACGCAGCTTCCAGTGTTTCCAAATAATTCTTCACCAACTCCGACGAAATCAATATTCGGTAAAACAGACAGTTCTAAGGTTACAGTTCCCACAAATTTAAATCCTAGTTCCGACACTTTAACCTCTACGAAAACAAC